TGATTAAGGACTTGGTATGTACTAATCCTTTAATATGAATTACATCTCAACATTAAGGAAACAAAAATCCTCACACTGGACCAATAAACAACATCATATTAGATGGAGAATAGATCGACATTTTAAATTATTTTATTTTACTGGGATCCACAATCGACACCCAGGGTAACAGCAGTCACTAAATTAAAAGATGGGCTGCATTCCCTGTCCAAAATACTAAAGAGCAGGGATGTCAGTGAAGAGACTAAACTGTACCTGATCCAAGCAGTGGTCTTTTAAATAACTTACTCATCTGAAAGTGCAACAGTGAGTAAGCATGACAAAAGGAAAACCATTGTCTTTGAATTGTGATATTGAGGAGAGCACTGAATATTTATTCCATAGACTGCCAAAAGAACAAACCAATCTGTCTTGGAGAAAGTGCAACCAGGGCGCTCCTTAGAGGCAAGAATGTCAATGTGCAAGAGGGCCAGGTCCTTGGAAAAGGAAATTGTGCTGGGGCAGGTGGAAGGTCAGAGAAAGAGAGAAGAAGACCTTCAACAAGATAAGTTGACACAGTGACTGTCTCAATGACTCTGTAATATGAGAGATTTTGAAGCTGGTGTGGGACAGAGTCTGTCTGTTGTCATAGGGTGGCCATATAGTCAACTCGATGACACCCAATAACAACAATGTACTGAGATCATTTTAAGGATCCTTGATGGCCTCATTCATAATTTATTCAGTTCCTAACTGAAAAGTTAGCAGGGTTGTTTTTGTTTTTGTTTTTAATTCCATTCATTTGAAGTTAGCAGTTTCAATTCAGCAGCTCTGAGGGAGAAAATGAGCAGTGCCTTTCACAAAACTGCAATCCATTTAGTGGCAGTGGATTTGAATTTTTATGTCATTTTACCAAAATCGTTATCTCTGAAACTGTTTTCTACATACTTTCTTTGTGATTAAATAGGGGAATTTAACAAGTGTGGTAGCCTGTGGAGGATGCGGCTAACACACCGGCTGAACTTGTTTGGCTATTTGAATCCACCAGGAGAATCACAATAAAAAATGGCAGTATCCTCTCATGTGATTTACAGCCTCTAAAACTCGCTGGAGGGTCAGTTATGTGTTGGTTCTGAGTGGATGGCAAAGGATGCTGAAAGTGTGTTAAATCCTGCTAGCCAGACCCTCTCTAGACGATTCTCCTTTTCCATACCCTGACACTTTCATCCCCACTGATCTAAATTTCATTAACTGAACACATTATCAATTCAATGTCCTCCTTCTCTTTAAGTCTTTGAATATATCCTCCAGAAGCATTTTCCCAAAGCTTGCTCAGTAATGCAATCTGCTAAGACTTGACACTTACTTCTTTTCTTTATGGTTTCCACCCGTCCCCCGCCCCCCATCCCCCGACACCACCACCCCCTTCTCCAATTTCCATTTAATCTGCCACTGTTATCTCTGACCTGAAAGAAAGAGAGGATGGAGGAGATGGTGTAAACATTAGAAAGGATGCTCCTTGGAGCTCAGGATGCTGTTAAAACAGCAGCTAACTTGATAATGGACTGAAATGAGGCTATCATACTCCGCGCAATCCGAACGAACGTTGCAATACAGGCAGAACAAGGTGTCCTTTGCAGCTTCATATAGGACAAGTCTTTTTCCTTGTTTTCTGAGAACATTTTTTATTATTATTATTATTATTAAAGGTCGGGGGGAAGGACTAAGTGGGAAGTGTGGGTAGGAGAGGAAAGGAGGTGAGAAACTTTGTGTTGCATCTCTGCAGCTGAAGGAAGGTGCCTTGGGCTGGGCAGGTGCGGCTGCAGCCCAGAGGGAGTGCTCACAGGCGGCTGGGCCCGCGTGGGTGGAGCCCAGCTGGGATCCCGCTCCTGCAGCTCTCTTGCCAGGAGACCCGCGCGCGCCCTGCGTCCCCAGCAGGCTGGCGCCCTGAGCGCGCTGCCCAGGTCAGCAGAGTCTCCTTCTTTCCCTCTCAAGACCATGGGCGCAGCCATTGGCTACCAGGGACAACTGCTCGGCATCCCGCAGCAGGTAAAACTGGCCCCTTCCAGCTCCACCTTACAACCTCCTTCCTGTTAGTTACCTCCATCCTAAAGTCTTTAATTCTCAGGTAGTGGGAAAAGTTTTGCCTTTATTTGACTTGATTTCTTGGCAGACACTTTCCCTTAACCTTTGAATCTCCCAGAAGCACGTAGATTCAATCGTCATCGTGTTCTGCGATTTCTGTGCAATAGTCCTGACCCTGGGGTAGCCAACTTTTTCGGATGGATGGAGTTTGCACTAGTTTCTCTTCTACTTTATTATCGTCATTATTGTTATAATTATTTTAGTCACTGATATTTCTTGTTGTTACTAAAAATTTATCGTGTTAGCATCCTGCATTTGAGCATTTCTCTGATACTTATGTGATTATGGTTAGCTAGTGAATGTATGTTTAACTACCATTTGATCTATTGAAACAGCGAGGTCTAGATGACAGAGAAACTCTAGTTTCTGAACATGACCATAAAGGGAATATTTGTCGTCAGTCTGCTGCTGTTTTTAATGTTGTCAACTCCATCATAGGATCTGCCATAATTGGTAAGTGGGATTTGCTTTTATTTTAGATGGAAAAGTCAAATTTAACGGATGTTTATTATGCTGATAGTGTTTGTTGGTTGGTGTTAGCTTTTTAAATTTTTCAAACATTGGTTATTTTTTTAAAGAAAAAAACCTCTTGTTCAATTTTGTTATTTTAAAGGTTTTATGAAATTTGTGGCAAAGCACACCAACTAGGTTTTTTATACAGAAGATAGGATTGTAGTTCACCCTATTCTTGAGTCCTTTACGTGCCAATTTAAGGTGGTACTCACTGTATGGGGAAAATGCTAATCTCCTCACACCCCATCCCATAAACTGCCCAGTTGGTTGATTTTTGTAGCAGGCCCTGGAGTCAGTTGGCTCAAGGTGATCCTATGGGTCTGAGTGTAATTGTCCCATAGGATTTTCTACACAGAGGTAAAGGGGTTAACAGAGTAAGGAGAGATCAAAGACAATTTCTAAATTTTTAGCTCACATCTCCGGCTGCGTGGTGGGGTTCGTAGTAATTGGCTGGCTAGCTTCACCTAGAACCCCCTTTTTAACTTGCATGCAGCCCAGGTGTCCCTCTCAGGCCCCTCCTAGGTACTTCTGTTCCTAGGCTGTAATCTTTAAAGGACTAGAATGCAAGGTGTTTATTTTGGTTTGGTTCCCCCCTTCCCGCGCCAGTGGATTTGATTTCAATCATTTATTTTTTTTTTTTTTACTTCAACCTTTCGGTTTGTGACCAAGCACTTAGTCATTGCATCATGAGGACTTGGTCAAGTATCAGTTTTACTTACTTATTCCTCTCTTAAATATCTACCATTATCTGAATCACCATTATTTGACCTTTGAGAAGTATGAAATACCAGAAATTTGGAAATGTTGGAAGAACTGAAAGTTAATATGAAAACAGTCTTGTAAAAAATAAAATCTGTGCAATATTTCCTTACCCATCTCTGCAGTGTTAAATTTAAAATAGAAACTTATTTTGATATATTAATTTTAAATATTATTTCATCAATGAATAAAAATCTGTTCCTTAAAACTGTATGTAAAATTTTTAACAAAGTCATTCAGCAAGAAAAGAAACAAACCGTTGTCTTACTTTCCCCGATTTAATAGATTGTTGTTATGTGCCATAGAGTTAGAACAACTCATACATAGTTGACCCTCCAGCAGGGTTTCTGGGGCTGTAAATAACCTGGGAGGAGATCTTTCTTCCACGGAACAGCTGTTGGGTTCCAACCACAGGCATTTGGGGCTGAAGCACTAACTTTATCTACTAGGCCACCAAAGCTCCCTAATTTAATAGAAGAAGGTAAAAACTGGGGAGGGGAAATTTAAAATGTAGCGCATTATAGTCCTAACAGCAGTTTCTTTTTTAACATTCAGTATCCTTTTGCTAATTGGAAAGGTTCGTATTCATAAAAGGAAGAAGACAAAATAAAGCTTACAAACAGCAATACTAAAAAATGCTGCTTTTTATTATAGCTAGTCATTTTGGTCATAGTCATCACTTTCTGATAATTAACTTTTTTTTTGGACTAAGATACTTTTCTTAACTTTCATAAATTAATGTGCTGCCTGATTTTACATGTTTCCATAGAAAGGCTTTTTTTTAATTCCTTGCTAAAAACTTATACATAGGAGGTACCTGAGGTAAAATGGAAGCAAGTAAGAGCAAAAACGGGATTAAAAGTCAGCCTAGAAGGACTAGGGAAGTGGCTAATGACTTTATTTATCAGAATTACAAAATTAATTTCTAATGCCAACACCGTAGGCTAATTGATGTCACCAGAATTTCAGTGTATGTTTTAATTGTGATATGCAGGATTTTCTTTTAAAGAGTTCTTTTCAGAGACTAAAAACCCTGGATAGAAAGATTTCAAACATTTTATCTTAAATATATTATTGTTTATACTCTAAAATTTTCTAATCCCTAAAGAAGTATCTCACAATATAATTTTATCTATCTCTCTATTCTAAAAAACGCTTGTGCCTTTTCATTTTTCCACCTTTTGCCTATGTGACTGCCTCAATTTGACTCCAGATTCAGCATTTCATTTTTGCCCAAAGTCCTTCTGCTCCTACTTATTCTCTCTATCTTGTCAGCTAACAAAGAGTAAGGCTTTGAGCTGTTCGTTTAGGCTTATTTTAGGGCTTATCTCTGATTACATTGAACTGAAAATTATTTATTATGTTTTTCATTCTCTACTTTCTACTTACCCTATCATCTAAAAAACTTCCTCTCTCAATAACATTTTATGCTGAAATAAGTATTAATATGCTCAGCATTTGGCTATAGTACTATCATATGTACTCTTATGATTATGGCATATGTAAATTTACTTAAAATATACAGCAGTTTGAGATAAGTGTTTTTTATTTCTATATCACTTATTAATATAAGATATGGGGCAATTTCTATTTTCCAGGATTGCCTTATTCAATGAAAGAAGCTGGCTTTCCTCTCGGAATATTGCTTTTATTCTGGGTTTCATATGTTACAGGTAAAACACTATATCTTAGCTTATTCCTGCAATTGAAAATGTGATTGTTTTACACACACACACACACACACACACACACACACACACTCCAGTTGAATTTCCAACTCATTAAGAAGTGCATCAAAGAATTCCGAAGAATGTAGACATTTATGTCTGAGGAGATTTACTCTTCTTGCTAATCCTCTGAACAGATTAGAAAAAGTAAAAGATGTTAAATCCCTTTCATGTGCTTTTTTCAATTTATGCATAAAGCTGGAAGAGTCATTTTAAAGTTTAAAGTTGGGGTTAAGGCAAAGATCATGCTTCAAAGTATAGGTTGCATGGTTTCCTTTCCCACCAAAACTATCAGCAGCTGGTGAACGCACATGAACAACATTTCCAAGCAATGCTTTCTAGCAGGTGGAACTGAAAACTGAAAGCCCTGGCCAGCAGGGCTTATCATTCCCTCTGCACCTCTCCTTCCATACCCACTGCCTAAGCCATCAGTGCAATGGTGAGATGCTTCCATATTGGGTCCTCCCTTGTGTTTCCACTTCTTCAGGCCGCATGCTCATTTACCTCAGTATTTCTCCACTCTCCCATCTAAATGCAGATTTTACAGCCCACAATCATTTCCTCTTCTCTTTGCTCTCATTACTGCACTGTTGTCCCAGCATATCACCTCCTGACACCTGGGACCTTTCCTATACCTTGGGATTCTTGTGAAGATCCAGTAATTATAATTGGCTACGTTATAGTGACTGGGTGTGTGTGAGTCTGTCTAAATGTTCTTACCCTAGCCAGTGCAAAATGCATCAACTGCCTCCCTTTCTAGACTTGGACTGAACCTCAAGAGAGTTTTCCCTATGAAGTTATGACCTTCAGCCCTTTCCCCCACAACCTTCAGACAATGACTCACTGACAAGAATTCAGATGCCAGTCTCCTTGCCTTGAAGAGGGCACAATGTGTGGTGCGGATTGAGCTCCAGGGCTCCACAGGTGGACTGCTGGAAGCTAATCTCCAACTCAAGACGTTGTCACTGCTAAACTGTTTGTCCAGCCCTGCCCTTTCACTCCCTTTCTCCAGAGAGCATTTCATCAATAAATTCCATACTGTTTCCTCTATGTTTTGAAGGACTCTGATCTAGGACTCTATTCTTCATAAAATCTCTGGCTTAGAAGACCTGAAACTTGTCTGTTTCCTCAAACTGAGAGACTGTAGCACATATAACCCCTTTGCCTTTGAGTCTATTCTGACTCAGCAAGGGTAACAGAATTTCCAAGACCATAGTCTTTTCAGGAGCATGCAGACACATCTTTCTCCTGTGGAGTGAGTTTAAACCACTGACCTTTCAGTTAACAGCTTGTTTCTTAGCCAGGACATCATCAGAGCTTCATAGTAAACCTTATAAAACAAAACCAAACACAACAACATGGAGTAAATTCCAACTCATGGTGACCTTCCATCAAATTGCTGAGGCTTGTAAATCTTTAAGTAAGAAGATTTCCCACCATCCCAATGTGGAAGAGCTGGTGGAATCAAACCAATGACTTCTCAGTAGTGTATGATGTAACACAGCACACCATCAGAACGCCTTAGTAAAACACATAGTAGATACCATATTCAGAATCACAGGGCCTTTGGCCTCTGACCCTCCTTTTTTGTTCCCTTGCAAATTCTTCAAACCTAAGGAGCTTCTTAGCTCCTAATTTGTAGTTGCTAGTGTTTAAAAGTTGTATTTATATCACACTAAACCATCTCATTCAAGCGTTTGTTCTTATCATTTTAAACTTCCTGTTTCCCAATCAATCAGCACTGTCAAACAATTCATTTCCTCCAGGCTGTAATACCATGGCTTATTTCAGTGCAATGTAAATATTGAGGCATGTTGTAAACTAGTAGATAGAAAAAAAATTAAATCATATATATCATCTAAGAAATCATTGGCTGGAGATAGTGAACAATTTACTAAACCAAAATGTATAATAAGTAATCTGTAATGTTTAAAGCTTTTTAAACTATATGCTATATAAACCTGCAATGTTGACTGTGCTATTTATACACACACAGCAGTGACATTATATTCTTATATATTCACACACACACAAACACACATATATAAATATATATAATTTCCCAGAGTAAGTAGAAAGTTGTAATAATTTAGCTTCATGATACGGATTAATTTTATTTTGTTAATAAAGGGCAATCAGGCAAAGGCAAATACACACACGTATACATTTTTTCCTTAGACTTTTTAGGAGGAAAAAAATAAACCTACAAGTATAACCTTTTTAAATAAAATTTTTATTTTAATTTTGATTTTAACAAAAGTTTACTGAAAAGTTAGGTTTTAATTAATTCATTGTTGCACATTTTACCCCCTCTAAAAGTTAAGTATAATTTTTGTCTAAAAATTGGGAGTATAAACAGGGGATTGTTTCTAGGATTGTTAATTTTTCTTTTTAAGATCTCTGATTAGCTATATGTTCATTCAAAGTGTAATTATTCTAAGTCCTCTTTTGCTTTTGTATAAAATATTGGTGAAAATAAATACTTAAAGGATTATATTTTAATATGCTTTAATATGTCAATTGCTTGTTGTTGTTAAGTGCTCTCAAGTCATAGGCTACTCATAACAACCCTATGAATGAAAGTCCTAGATTAATTTCTATTGACTATTCTATTTGTAATAATCAGGAAACATTTTGTACACTAAATTATATAGATTTTTAAAATTTTATTTTATTCATTGTTGTATTTTCTTACCCCACCCCAACCCACTCCACAATGCACCCCTTGTTCCAGATTTTTGTCATACATAAAACGCCAAATCACGTAGTCCTCTCAGACAGTTCTTCTCCTTATCTGTTCTATTGCTGTGTTCATTATCTATCTACTCTTTTCCCATTCTCTTCCCAACCTCCCTATGTCTGCTCTATTTTAGAACAGCTGTGTTATTTCTCCTTTTGCGACTGAGATATTTCACTCAACATAATGTCCTTAAGTCTCCCTCATGTTGTGTAATATTTTACAAGTTCACTGTATTTCAATATTCCATTGTGGGAATGTACCATAGTTTTTCTATCTATTTGTTTGTTGGTGGTCACATGGGTTGCTTCTATCTCTTTGCTATTGTGAACAACACAGCAATAAACACGGGTGTGAATAAATCTGCTTGAGTTGTGGCTCTGGTTTCTTGAGGGTATATTCCCATTAGTGGAATTGCTGGGTCAAATGGTATCTCTATTTTGAACTTTTTGAGAAAGTGCCAGACCACCTTCCATAGTAGATGTACCATTTTTATGTTTCCACCAGCAGTGAATAAGTTCCAATCTCTCCACAATCTTGCTTACATTTGTTGTTTGCTAAATTATATAGATTTTAGTGGATCATTTTCAGTTTTCTATATGATTATATCTAAAGAGAAATTAAAATGTTTAAGGAGACTATCCCTCCCTCTCATTGCCTTGAGTTTGAGCCAGCTATTAACTGACTTGTCAATGAGTTCCAGTGCTATGAATTTTATGGGAAGTGATTGCTCAATCTTTCTCTGGTGGCCTGTATTTTACTAGCAATGAAAGCATTTATAGTGAGTAGCAACTATATTCCTATCAAATTGCTAACTTTAAGCAATACAATTTGAACTTCCTAAAATTCTTAACATTCTAATCCAAAACAGACACTTTCAAAACACCTATCAAATCCGTTACCTCTTTTCTGTTACTCAAGTCCTCACTGGTTTTCTTCTTTGAACAATAAGAAAACCATGAGAGTTATGATGCCAGCCCAGAAATGCGAGGTTCAAATCCATGAGTGCTCTGTGGGAGAAAGATACACATCTTCTCATGTGCAACTTATAGCCTCTAAAAATCCACTGGTGAGTTAGCTATGAGTCAAACTCAATGGCACATAACAACAACGAGCATGTCTCCACTTTCTGATTGGTCTTCTGTAGTGCTGTAGGAGTTCTCTTTAGAAAACTTCCCTTTGATCACCAGTCACTCCACCAATTAAAATATTCTAAGATAACTACAATGACAAGAGAAAATAAAGATTGTATCCAAAACTCTCCATAGTTTGTTCATAGTGTGTGTTCTTCTTTTCACCTCCAGGTTCTTTTTTTCCTTTGCTATCACCAATCTTTCATCGTGTGGGTCATGTGCCTGCGTTATTCTGAACTATTCTAACCCCGATATTGTGAACACGCATCCATGCTACCTTGCCATTGATTTCTCCCTGCCTAACATTCTTTGTCTTCTCTACCTAGTAAAACATTCCAATCATCCTTCAAGGCATTACTGAATTCTGTGTGGCTTTTCTTAGTTTCAAATAAAAGAAGTAGAATTTATTATTTCCTCTTTGTTTGCAGAACATTAAATGATGTATTTACTTTATAATTGAATCATGCTAAATTAAAATTATATATGTATGTATTTAACAACTCTGTTGTATTGATCATTAATTTATACAACAGCACTGTATACCATCGAATCTACTATGATTCACAGCAAGCATGTGTACAATAGCTCTCTAGTAATGTGCCAGTCACCTCAACTGCTGACAATGTAGCCATGAATATGATCCCTGTCCTTATAAAGCTTATTTGTCAAATAGGAAAATACTCAAACAAAAAAAAATTAAAGATTTCACATCATTCGAATGCATTATACATTTAGCATAATAAAAACATGTGAGTAATAACAGGGATAAAATATTCCTCCAACTTCAAAGGGTGGGTATGATCTGAAGAGATAGAGACACTTCTGTTGGGTGTTTATGAAAAATTGTAAGTTAGCAAAGAAAATAGAAGGTTACTCTGAGCAGACAGAAATATAGACAGGCAAAGGAGAAAAGTGTGAGTGATTCATTCTGGCTAAAATGTAGGTTTGATGGTGTTAAATGAAGAGAGACAGAGTTGGGTTTGCAGAGGCAGATTTAGAATCTCATCTAATGACAATCATTACTGTTTCCTAAGGGATTACTAGGTACTGACCATAAAGCGGTCAGCATATATGATCTTTTCAATTCCTTGAGAGTTTCCAGTGTTCTTTTTTTACAGGAAAGGAAACAGCCTTTAATAGGCTTAAGGGACTTGCCCAACAGTTACTATTTACTGGAAACAGATTTGGGGTTATGTTTAAGTGCAAAGATTCTAGGGCCAGACTACTAAGATTTGTAACATTGACCAACACTATTAAATGCATGGACTTGAGAAAATGACTTGATTTTCTGTGCCTCATTTTTCTTATCTATGGAATGGGTTAGCCTCAGAATTAGGTTAGACGGAGCCTCAGAATCCTTACCTCCAAGGAGCCACCCGGTTTAACCCTTTCCAGGACAAATCTGTTTGTTTTCCTAGAAGTCCATGGTATTCTCAATACTCTTCTCCAGCACCACAGCTCAGTGTCAGAGACAGTGTGATTGGCACAGGATAGAGCAGAGTTTAGGGCTGTTGTACATAGGGTCGCTATGAGTCGCAAGTGACTCGACGGCACATAGCAACACAACATTGAACGGGTATAGTATCTACCAAAAGCTGTTGTGCGGATTAAAGGAGCTAATATATGTAAAACGTTTTCAAAGAAGGATAACACAAAGTTGTATGAAATTATTAGCTAATGATTTTGCAGCCATTATCATGATCATTGTCATTTATCTGTCTCCAAATATAACACCTTTCTGCCTCAAAATGTAGCCCCTCTGCATAATGCAGGTTAATGATGAGTCTTCCTTCTATCGTCACACCACACTCTCTTTCATAGAGTCCAGTTTATCTAATGATTTACTGAGTGTATAGACTAAATAGAAGTGGAGAAAGGATACATCCCTGACTCACAATTTTCTTTATTTTAAACCATGCAGTGTTCCCTTGCTTTGTTCATATGCTCTAAGTACATGTATCACATGAGTACAGTCAAGTGTCCTGGGACTCCTATTCTTCTCAATGTCGGTCATAGTTTTTCATGATCCACACAGTCAAAAGTCTTTACATAGTGAATAAAACACAAATAAACATCCTTCTAATAAATCTGTGCTTTCAGCCCAAATCCATTTTACATACTCAATTATATCCCTTGTACCACAGCTTCTCTTAAATCCAGCCTGAACTTCTGGCAGTTCTAGGTTTGTTTGGGGGGGGTTTCCTCCTCTTTTTAAAAATTAATTTTAATGAAAGTTTACAGAGACTTAGAGTTTCCAGTCATTCATTGTTCCACTTTTCTCTCTGCCCACCTCCTCCCCCCAATTTACTCTTCTCCTTGAAAAGTAAAAGAAAAACACGTTCATTGTTATGCAATCCCCCCAAGTCCACTCCTCTGTGCAGCCTTCATTCTGGACTCCTATCATGACAATAATACCCAATCATATATACCTTTTAAACAGTTGTCTCCCTCATCTGTTTCAATGCAGTTTACATCATTCATCTCCTCCTTCTCTGTCTTCCCTCAATCCCAATGTCAGTCCTGTTTTACAGCAGTGGCCCTTTGCCATATTTGTCCTTTTGTGATTAAAATATTTCACTCAGCATAATGTCCTCCAGGGTCACCCATTTTATATATTTCATGAGTTCTTTGTTTTTCAATGTTTCATAGTATTTTATTGTGTGGATATACCAGAGCTTCTATATCTATTCATTTGTTGATGGGCACTTGGGTTGTTTCTAGCTCTTTGCTATTGGGAAAAAAGCTGCAATGAACATGGGTGTGCATATATCTGCTTGGGTGGTGGTTATGGTTTCTTTAGGGTAAATTCTCAGTAGTGGAATTGCTGAGTCAAATGGTATTTCTATTTCCAACTCTTTGAGAAAGTGCCATACAGCCTTTCGTAGTGGTTGCACCATTTTACATTCTCACCAACAGTGAATAGGGGTTCCAGTTTCTCCACAATCTCACTAGCATTTGATGTTTGCTGTTCTGTTAAAATTTTGCTTTCCTTACTGGGGTGAGATGACATCTCAAAGTTGTTTTGTCTAGTTGTTTTTTAATAATCTTCAGCAAGATTGTACTTGCATGTAAGCTTAATGATATTGTTCTGTTATCTCCACATTTTGTTGGATCACTGTTTTAGAGAATGAAAATCATAGTAGGGCATTTTAAAGAGTAAGAAAAATTTCAAGGATTCAGGGTTTTGAGAGAGTGCGGGGGAAAAAATAGTGGAAAAATGTATATAAATGACTAAAAAGGAAGGAGGAACCCCTAGAGAAAATGTTGTCACAGAGCACTAGGGTGGATAGCTGAGGGAAAGGGTAAGGGTGAGTACCAAAATATATTTCTGATGAAGAAAATATAAATTATGTTTACAAGTGTGCATTGATGAACTTACTGAAAGAAGTTTGCCTGATATGCAAATGAATCAAGGTAGAAATCACATTGCAATCATTTCTGTTTTCTTCTTTGTATTTGAATGCATTTACAAAGTATTTAAAGAAAAAAGAAATCACTTCTGATGAAAATATAAGATTTTTAAAAAAGTAATAATCATACCTATACCTAGTTGTGTATCTTGTAATACAACTACAGTTATTTTCACTAGGTTTCTAAAAAACATACACTGAGTTAAAGAGACAAAAAAATGTAATGTTTGTAACTTCAAATTCACCCCCAAAGTGCAAATTTCAAAACCAGAGTCCTTTCTTAACTGTAAACAAATAAACAAACAAAAAATTCCTCACTGTTTTCAAGTTGATTCCAACTCCTAACCACAGTCTCTCAGGTTTCTGAGGCTGTAACTCTTAAAAGAAAGAGATGAGCTTTTCCTCCCAGGGTCACTGGTGAATTCAACCACCGGATACAGGAAAGCTTCTGGGTAGTAGTACAACTCGCTATGGACCAAACCACCAGAGCTTTTTTAAAAATCATGTCGTCCAGTTGACTAAAACTCATAAGGACTCTATGAACAGACTTGGATCCTGTCCTAGCCTGTTCCATCATCAGTTCTGATACATTTGAGCCCATTGCTGCAGTCACCATATCAGTCCACTTTGTTGAGGATATTCCTCTCTTTTCCAGAACCTCCCTCTTTTCAAACATTACATCCCTTTTTAAGGAATTGCCTCTCCTAGCAACCTTTCCAAAGTGTGAGAGATGAAGCTTCACCATTCTGACCTCCAAGGAAAACTCTGGGTGTACTTTTTTCCAAGACCTATCCATATCCATTCTTTTGCCAGTCTATGAGATAGCCATTGTTCTTCTCCAACATCACAACACATAGCCATGAATTCTTCTATCATCTTTGCTTGTTGTCCGATTCTCAGATGTATAGCAAGTGATTGAAAAGACACCTGAATCAGGCACACCTTGGTCTTCAAACTGATGTCATTGCTCTTCAGTATTTTGGAGAAGTCCTTAACAGTGGACTTGACCAAAGCAATATGTCTTCTAATCTTCTGAATGCTGATTTTATGGATAAAATTGTTACTATTTTACTTTGTTATAAAACAAATCTCTGATTATATATTTGTAAAACAAGTATGCCTCTTCATTCTTGGCTTTCATACATTGGCTATCTATAAAATAGTTTCTTATTAACATTCTATTCATTTAAAAATTGAACTACATCCAGATAAACATTGTATGATAAGTTTTTGTTGCTCTTATGTGCTGTCGAGTTGAAACCAACTGATAGCGGATTCTCCAAAAGGTTTTTCAGAAGATGTAATTCAAATGGGAAGAGATTTTGTGTCTTTCTCCCATGGAGAAGCTGGTGGATTTGAACTTGCCTTTGGTTTAGCAGCACAATTTCTTACCATGAAGACACCAGAGCTTCCTGTATGATAAATTCGGAAATAAAAATGAAACACTATGCCTTTGACTCTTCAACTGTTAAATTTTTCCATCCAGTTCATCATACAAACAAGGTTAAGTATATTTTCTTCTAGATAGAAAACCAAAATGTAACTGGAAACAGTACTGCTTTAGGAAAAGAAGGAATCGTGTATTATTACAATAGCATTAGCATTCTTCTTAAAATTTTATAAATCTTCTTAAACTTAAGAATTCTTAAAATTTACCTACTTTCTCAATGTAAAATAAATAAAACTTTTACATTAAGTATAATCTTATATTTGAAAATTTCTTGTTTTTGTCACAGACTTTTCCCTTATTTTATTGATTAAAGGAGGGGCCCTCTCTGGAACAGACACTTACCAGTCGTTGGTCAATAAAACCTTTGGTTTTCCAGGCTTTCTCCTCCTCTCAGTTCTACAGTTTTTGTATCCTTTCATAGGTAAGATGATTTTGCAATACGCATACATATAATCATTAAACAATCATTGAAGGATGTTAACAATTGAAATAGTTCCCAAATTGTTTACTTTGTGAACTATTTTCTCCTTTATTTTCCAGTATTCATGGTTGGTTTTCAGAATCTATTTTTTAGATATAAAAAATGAGCACAGTTTTCCTTGGATTTATACATTTCCTTCCTAGTGTCATAAAAGAATAGAATTACTAGAAGTTAAAGAAAAAATAGATTTTTCTGTGGCTGAATATATTCTTTTGAAAACATATAAGGATTTGTGGGAGTAATGTACAAAGTCAACATTTAAAGTTTAAACTAAAGTGGTGAAAATGTCACCTCGAGCTTCTTAAATAATTAACATTCACCAGTAGCAAAACTGACCGCTTTTTTTTTAAAATTATGATTAAATTTTATTAGTTTTAGTGAACATTTACAGAGATTTTAGGTTTTCATTCATTCATTGTTGCACTGTTTTCTCCACCCTCC